CGTTAGCCATGACCCATGGGCTCGACTACAAGTCTGGCTTGCTGCCAATCCGTTGGAGGACTTGTAATAAATATTCACGGTCAATTGCTTTTCTCATTAAGAAAATAGGCGATCTTAGCGGCACTTAACGGATTGGCACCCTCGTCGTATTCATAGCAAAGGGTTCTGCTGCCTAAAAAAATGACCATCTTCTGTCCAAATGAAAAAATTAAAAATATTTAGAAATATGTTGGAAAAAGGATCCACGGGCTGACCTGCAGTTTGAATTGCTCAGAGACGACCTGGTCCAACACAAGCTGTGGGTCGTGCCGGGTCTAGCCTGGCGTGGATTAGAGCTTTAGAGCTCTCGATCGAGCTCGCCATGACCGACCTGGGTCTGAGCCTAAACTGGCCAAGCCATAAACCTAGCCGAGCTGGTTCACGAGTCAGGCCCGATCCAACCCACGCCCACCCTTAGAACCTAGTTTCTCAAGGGACCTCGGCAAACGCGAACCCAAACCGCTTTTGCTCTCTTTCTCTTTATCCCAGGGTTTCATTTCGTTTCATGTTTTTCATTGTTTGTATCTACAGGTCTCAAGTTAGATTAGTATGTCGATTTTATTCTGATTTCGGATTGAAGATTGAAGTCAATCTCTCCAATGAAAAAAGCGAGCGCCAGCTACGAAGCAGGTTTTGTTTAAAGTTTTTTTTTTTTTTTTGGGGGTAAATTACACGGTACCCCTTTATCTATACCTTGTTTTTAAAGAAAGCCGTCATTAAAGAATTGGACAAAACAACTCCATCACAGAACTCACAGTTCTTTCAAAAATTTTAGATGATCGTTTTTTTAATGAAAAGTATAAAGAAGATGAAGACGATTTATTGTGATTTTATTTTTTTAATTTGATTATAAAATTGTTGATGTATTATCTTGTTAATTAAGAGATTGGTTTTTTAATTTCTTGATGTTTTATAGCAGCATTACTTTAAGTTTAAATGCCCAATAACCTTCTACTAACCTTTCTTACTACTTCCTGTACATCTAGGATATGATGTTCTTAATTTGTGACATTAATTAACACGATGTTTAAAAATGTGAAAGCGCTATTCAAAGCGTTAGACCCTTCAATTAAGCAAGGTGTGAACCTCATCAGTTAAATATATTTCAATTTTAAAACTTATTTATATTATAAACATATAATATATAGTTGTACAATAATTTACAAATTAATACATTTAGGTCTTGAGTAGTAAATAAGAATTAAAAAAAGCTGACACAAATCATAATAAATTAAGCTACATATATTGATATATATTTTATTTATAGTCATAGGGGAAAATCTACATGACTAAAGTTTAATGTCCTTATTAAAAAAATCAAACTCACTCATAGCACTGATTTAGAAATCCAGATAGAATGAGACATATGCTTCAAGGGATAAATAGATTCTCATTTTAGTTTTCAAAGCGATTATCCTTCAAAAGTTTCAATCGAAGCGACTTTCAAAATGCTTTTTCAAAACGAAATTAAACATAGTATATTAATCTATGATACCCCAACACGGCAATTTTGGCGTCGTACCCATGTCGGGTGCGGTTTGTGTACGTTTCCGCTCTCAAACGGAGGGGACACTGGAGCAACTCATTTCCCATGTGTGAGATGACTTTTGGAGCAATTACGTTCGAGGAAAATCGGTTTAGCTGAGATATGCAAGGAAGAAGAAGACTCTCTCTCTCCTATTTCCTTAGTTTTAAATTTGTTAGTGGAACATGACATCACTATTCATATGGGTGCTTGACTATTTGCTTTTGTCTTTTCTTTAAAATTAATGGCAATGCTAAGAATGGGAGACATGTGTTCTCATATTTAAATATGTAAGTGTATATGTATGTATGTATATACGTACATATTTATTTATTTATTCTTTTTGATGCTTATGTGGAATATAAAGTCAAAGTTTCAAATGAGTTTACTTTATAATTTTAAGGAATGAGCTTATTTTATTGAGAATTTGAAATTAACCTAAAATCACATCATTTCCCTAATATTTTTTTACGATCCGCTCCATTAAACTTGATCTACATGTTCTTAAACTCAAACACACCAATTTTGGGGTGAACCCGTCGTGTTTTGACCATTCGTTGAGTCGTCCAAAAAGTTTTATTCATTCGAAACCGTTAAAATTACGGCGAGTAGATGAATGGTCAAAACACGACGGGTTCACCCTAAAATTGGTGTGTTTAGGTTTAAGAACGTGTAGATCAAGTTCAACGGAGCAGATCGTAAAAAAATATTAGGGAATGATATGATTTTAGGCCGCGTCCTTAGGTGGGAGCATAGGGTGTCACCTTAGATTCACTTTTCCCTATATATATGTGTGGGGAGGGGTGTGTGGGGTGTGTGTGTCTATATATACTAGTATTATAGCCCGTGCCAAGCATGTACGGTTTAGCCAAAAAATGGGTTATCTTAGCGTAAATATTATGTCCCACTCTATAGATTGTAGCATACAAGATAATAATGTTAACAATCGAAACGCGAAATACATTATGTTTATTAAATAAATAAAGTGTTATTTAATAATACATTTAATTGATAAATTGTTGATTATTATTATCTGATATATTGGAAAGAGCAAGTTGTATATTACCGAGAATTAATGGCAAGACCTAAGCAAACCTTAATTCTGTTATACCAGAATGACTTATTTGCGAAAAAAATACCAAATTGAATATTCTTTTTAAAAAAATAATTGATTTAAATGAGAAATCTTTACTTTGCCACAACATATGGAATTATATGTAATTTAATCAAATGTGACAAACTTATTTATAAAAGCGTAAAGTTTTCTAGACCCATCGATTCCCTCGTTGTCGTTCGTTCTCTTTTATACATCTGTCGATTCATCACCTCGGAGAAAACCTCCATTATCTCCATATCTTTGCTCTTTGCCGTTCTAATTTGTAGATCCGTCAATCTCCTAGATCGGAGAAAACCCTAATTTATGTCATCCTTTCCTTTGAGGGAAAATTAAAGTTTAGTCCATCCCTTCTCCTTATGCAATTGAAAGATCAGCGGCATATCAAATCTTTGAAGTTGATGGTGTATTCCTTTACTACGCGTTTGATCCATCAAAATTCAGCCTATTTGCTGAAGATCTCTGTCATTTTTAAGTTGCATGTTCATCTCTTTGTAAGCAATTGAATCTCTGATTCCTTAGAATTTATTGTTTTACTTGATCGTTTATATTTTTATAATTAGTAGTTGATTTATCTATTATTGGGTTAAAAATAAAATTACTAGTTTTGCATGTGAAATATCCTGATATTTTGCATGTTAATATCCTTTTAAGTAGTGGAATTTTTTTTCAAATTTATTCGCATGTTATTCTGGCCTGTTATTATTCATTTTTCATCCATTGTTCATTTATTTGCCTTTTTTTTTTGCGTGTTGATATCTTTGTAAGTAGTTGTTTTCTCTATTATTGAAATAATTCCTCCGCATCACTTGCCATGAATATATGAGAATATATATTTATATGCTGTGTAATTTAAAGTCAAAGGAAAAGAAAAAATATTAGCATAATCGTAACAATTTATGATAATTAGAAGTAAACATGAAAAAAGTACTTAATATTTGCTCGTTTGTCATGCCATCGATGTTCTTAAAATTCAATGGGCTAATGTTAATTATTTCCCCTCGAATTTTGTAGTAAGGCATGGTTTTAACATTGTGTGAAATGTAGCCGTTGTGTTTGATCATTGAATCTTGTTGTTGAACGTTCCTCTTTAGTAATTCATGTTTTCGTCGACTTCATGTGCTTTCAATATACCTTTGAGGGATTAATGCAGCGGCCCAAGAATGGGATTCATCCATTTATTGTGCATGTTAATCTGTTTGTAAGTAGT